GCTTCCCTAGGGGGCCCCCCAGGGGGCCCCCCAACAGGGTACAGCTTAGGGGGCCCTTTAGGGGGGCCCCCACCAAACAGCTCCAGCGCTGGGGGCGCCCTAGGGGGGCCCCTAGGGGGGCCCCTAGGGTACAGTTTTGGGGGCCCCTTAGGGGGGCCCCTAGGGTACAGTTTAGGGGGCCCTATAGAGGGGCCCCCAGGGTACAGCTCAGGGGCCCCGATAGGGTACAGCTCAGGGGGCCCCTTAGGGGCCCCCTTAGGGTACCAGATGGAAGGGTATAGAGGGGGGGGGCCCCCCTTGGAATACTGCAGCGAGGAGAAGGGCGTTGGCTTGTCTTTGAATGCAGCAAAGAAGACACCCTATGCTGAGGGGGCCCCTCAACTGTTTGCAACGGGGGGCCCCCCTTTCTGGGGGTACCCCGGCGCTGGGATTAGCTAGCTAGCTATTGAAACAGCTAGCTAGCTAGCTGTTGAGAGAGCTCTCTAGCTACCAAGCTAGCTAGCTAGCCTACTAGCTAGCTAGCCAGCCTACTAGCTAGCTAGCCAGCCTACTAGCTAGCTAGCTTAATAGGTAGCTATTGAGGTAGCTAGCTAGCTACGTATATAGATAGCTGGCTAGCTAGCTAGGTGCATAGCTGGTTACTTAGCTAGCTAGCTGCGTAGCTAGCTGGCTAGCTAGCTAGTTGTATAAACAGTTAGCTAGTTAGCTAGCTGACTAGCTAGCTAACTAGCTATTTGGCTAGCTAGCTAGCTAGCTGACTAGCTAGCTAGCTAGCTATTTGGGGTATCTATGTCCCTTTATGTCTTTGATTGTCTTTGAGTTTTTTTTAATTTTCTTTGATTTTGTTTGTTCTCTCTTTCTGCTTTTTGTCTGTGAGGATTGCGACATCGCACAGTCTGCTGCTGCAGCTGCTGCTACTGCTGCAGCTGCTATTGTTGCTGCTGCTATTTGTTGTTGCTCCTATTGTTGCTGCTGCTGTTGTTGCTGCTGCTGCTATTGTTGCTTCTGCTGCTATTGTTGCTGCTCATTAGACTTGTAAGATGTACGGGGTAAGAATTAAAAGACAGAAATAAATAAATAAATAAACATTCAAAGAGACAAACAAAAAAACAAACAAATAAACAGACGAAGATATAAACAAACGAGGAGATGAAAGAAAGAAACAAACAAACAAACAAAGCGATGGGTAGACATAAATAAACTAAAAGAATTAAATTGCATTATTATTATTATTATCATTATTATTATTATTTTTATTTTTATGTTTATTTTATTATTATTTAAATAATAAAAAGTGTTGTCGTAATAAGCTCAAAAATAAATATATTATTAATAATTTATTTTATTGTAAACAAACAAAAGCCGAAGAAAAAAATTTTCTTCATTTCTTTTAAAACAAAGTACATCTACAAACCCTCTTATTAATCTATTAATAAATAAATAAATAAATAAATAAATAAATAAATGTATATATGTATATATATATATATATATATTTAAAATATATATCTAAAAATTTAAATATATCTATATATATTAATAAATATATGAAAGAAATTTTATTTCTTTAAGAAACAAATCGAAGATATTAAACGTGAGGGTGAAGGGGCTGTTGTTGTTTATGCAGGCGCCTAGATTAAAAGTTAAATCTTTAATAATAATAATAATAATATTATTATTATTATTAATAATTTATTTATATATTAAATAATATAATTAATTTAATTATATTTTGTTTTTATTTTGATTAAAAGCAAAAAATAATTCAGAGTTTCGCTGCATGCATGCGGTGTATGGACGGAGGATGCATAAATTTTTTTGTTTTTTCTTTTGTTTTGCTCATTATTATTTAAAATAAACAACTAAAATTAATTTAATATATTCTTTTTTAATTCTTTTTCATGAATCTATTCATCCTATATACACACACACTCAATGTCTTACCTATATGCTGCTATAGGCGGTGTATGCAGCAGCAGCTGCAGCGGGTATATAAATAGAAGCAAAATAATATTTTCTGCGTTTGTTTATCCCCTTATTAACTCTCGTTTAGGGTCTGCTGGCTTCAATAAAGAAGAATACTGCAGTGCTGCTGCTGCAGCACCAGCGCGAGCACGCGCAGCAGCAGCAGCAGCAGCAGCAGCAACAGCAGCAGCAACAGCAGCAGCAGCAGCAAAGGTCAGCAGCAGCAGCAGCAGCAGCAGCAAGTTGCTGCCGTCGTTTATAGGGGAGAGTATTTTATTTCTAAGACCGAAGAAGAAGTTTCTTCGTGTTGATAGAGCGAGGTAAGATGTAGAGAGCTGTGTCTGTACACCCTGTGCAGCAGAGATATAATTATATTATTTTTAATTTATTTATTATTTCTTTTTCTTTTTCTTTATGCATGCAGAACAAAGAGACACCTCAAACATCGACGTCATATCGGAGGCTGGTTCTACAGATGGCTTGGCTCTTAGAATGCACTGCAGCAGCAGCAGCAGCAGCAGCAACAGCAGCAGCA